AGCCTGCACCTCAGCAAGCCTGGCACTCAGCAAGCCTGGCACTCAGCAAGTCTGGCACTCAGCAAGCCTGGCACTCAGCAAGCCTGGCACCCAGCAAGCCTGGCACCCAGCAAGCCTGGCACTCAGCAAGCCTGGCACTCAGCTAAGTTGGCACTCAGCAAGCCTGGCACTCAGCAAGCCTGGCACTCAGCAAGCCTGGCACTCAGCAAGCCTGGCACTCAGCAAGCCTGGCACTCAGCAAGATTTGGCACTCAGCAAGCCTGGCACTCAGCAAGCCTGGCACCAGCAAGCCTGGCACTCAGCAAGCTGGCACCAGCAAGCCTGGCACCTCAGTAAGCCTGCACCTCAGCAAGCCTGGCACTCAGCAAGCCTGGCACTCAGCAAGCCTGGCACCCAGCAAGCCTGGCACCCAGCAAGCCTGGCACTCAGCAAGCCTGGCACCCAGCAAGCCTGGCACTCAGCAAGCCTGGCACCCAGCAAGCCTGGCACCCAGCAAGCCTGGCACTCACAAGCCTGGCACTCAGCAAGCCTGGCACTCAGCAAGCCTGGCACTCAGCAACCTGCACCCAGCAAGCCTGGCACCCAGCAAGCCTGGCACCAAGCAAGTCTGGCACCCAGCAAGCCTGGCACTCAGCAAGCCTGGCACTCAGCAAGCCTAGCACTCAGCAAGTCTGGCACTCAGCAAGCCTGGCACTCAGCAAGCCTGGCACTCAGCAAGCCTGGCACCCAGCAAGCCTGGCACTCAGCAAGCCTGGCGCTCAGCAAGCCTGGCACTCAGCAAGCCAGGCACTCAGCAAGCCTGGCACCAAGCAAGCCTGGCACCCGGCAAGCCTGGCACCAGGAAAGCCTGGCACCCAGCAAGTCTGGCACCCTGCAAGCCTGGCACCCGGCAAGCCTGGCACTCAGCAAGACTGGCACCCAGCAAGCCTGGCACCAGGCAAGCCTGGCACCCAGCAAGTCTGACACCCAGCAAGCCTGGTACCCGGCAAGCCTGGCACTCAGCAAGCCTGGCACCCAGCAAGCCTGGCACCCGGCAAGCCTGGCACTCAGCAAGCCTGGCACCCAGCAAGTCTGGCACCCGGCAAGCCTGGCACTCAGCAAGCCTGGCACCCAGCAAGTCTGGCACCCAGCAAGCCTGGTACCCGGCAAGCCTGGCACTCAGCAAGCCTGGCACCCAGCAAACCTGGCACCCAGCAAGCCTGGCACCAAGCAAGCCTGGCACCCAGCAAGCCTGGCACCAAGCAAGCCTGGCACCCGGCAAGCCTGGCACTCAGCAAGCCTGGCACCAGGCAAGTCTGGCACCCAGCAAGTCTGGCACCCAGCAAGCCTGGCACCCGGCAAGCCTGGCACTCAGCAAGACTGGCACCCAGCAAACCTGGCACCAGGCAAGCCTGGCAAACCGCAAGTCTGGCACCCAGCAAGCCTGGCACCCAGCAAAACTGGCACCCAGCAAGCCTGGCATCCGGCAAGCCTGGCACCCAGCAAGCCTGGCACCCAGCAAGCCTGGCACCCAGCATGAATGATACCCAGCAAGCCTGGCACCTAGCAAGTCTATCACTCAGCAAGCCTGGCACCCAGGAAGCCTGGCACCCAGCAAGCCTGGCACCAAGAAAGCCTGGCACTTGGCAAGCCTGGCACTCAGCAAACCTGGCACCAGGCAAGCCTGGCACCCAGCAAGTCTGGCACCCAGCAAGCCTGGCACCCGGCAAGCCTGGCACTCAGCAAGCCTGGCACCCAGCAAGCCTGGCACCCAGCAAGCCTGGCACCCAGCAAGAATGGCACCCAGCAAGCCTGGCATCCGGCAAGTCTGACACTCAGCAAGCCTGGCACCCAGCAAACATGGCACCCAGCAAGCCTGGCACTCAGCAAGAATGGCACCCAGCAAGTCTGGCACCTAGCAAGCCTGGCACCCGGCAAGCCTGGCACTCGCAAGCCTGGCAACCCAGCAGCCTGGCACCATCACGCAAGCTTGGCACTCAGCAGCCATGCACCCAGCAAGCCTGGCACCCAGCAAGACTGGCACCCAGCAAGCCTGGCACCCGGCAAGTCTGACACTCAGCAAGCCTGGCACCCAGCAAACCTGGCACCCAGCAAGCCTGGCACCAAGCAAGAATGGCACCCAGCAAGCCTGGCACCCAGCAAGAATGGCACCGGGCAAGAATGGCACCGAGCAAGAATGGCACCCAGCAAGAATTGCACCCAGCAAGCCTGGCACCCAGCAAGCCTGGCACCAAGCAAGAATGGCACCCGGCAAGAATGGCACCCAGCAAGAATGGCACCCAGCAAGAATGGCACCGAGCAAGAATGGCACCCAGCAAGTCTGGCACCCAGCAAGCCTGGCACCCAGCAAGCCTGGCACCTAGCAAGCCTGGCAACCAGCAAGCCTGGTACTCAGCAAGCCTGGCACCCAGCAAGCCTGGCACCCAGCAGGCCTGGCACCCAGCAAGCCTGGCACCCAGCAAGCCTGGCACCCAGCAAGCCTGGTACTCAGCAAGCCTGGCACCCAACAAACCTGGCACCCAGCAAGCCTGGCACCCAGCAAGCCTGGCACCCAGCAAGCCTGGCACCCAGCAAGCCTGTACTCAGAAGCCTGGCACCCAGCAAACCTGCACCCAGCAAAGCCTGGCACCCAGCAAGCCTGGCACCCAGCAAGCCTGGCACCCAGCAAGCCTGGTACTCAGCAAGCCTGCTGAAGAGGATCCCGGAAGGGATCATCTTCAGCAGAAGTGGTTACTAGTGAGCATTAACAAGTGTTCAGAATCTATTTTATTAGTAGCTCACTGCACTTAAGAATAAGACATTACACAATACACAAATAACCCGCACATAAAAGACAGAAGCTTACGACGACGTTTCGGTCCGACTTGGACCATTGACAAAGTCACACTAACAGAGGAGGAGCAGAACGGCTATATATAGGCAGGAAGAGGTGGAGGTAGTAGTAGTGGTAGAAGTAGTAGTAGTAGTAGTACAAGAATTGTATATAATACCGACAGGATGAAATGACACATGCACAACACCCGGGCATCCCCACCGTAGACGTTTCGCCATCCAGCCAGCCACTGGATGGCGAAACGTCCACAACAAAGACAACCAGACGCCGCACATGTGTTAATTTCATCAGTGGATGTAGTAGAAGAAGAAGAGGTAGTAGTAGTGGTAGTGGTAGAAGTGGGAAATAAGGAAGACGAGCCAGTCAAATACAAAGGAAGGGGAGCACTGCAAGAGAGCTAGAAACCCACAGAGGGAGAGCAAGCGCACCGACGTGCGTGAAAGGGGAAGTGGTGAAATAAAATAAAGAAGGAACAGAAACACATGTGTAACACCTACGAACCTTGAAAGAGTGAAACATCACGCTGCCTTGGCTGGAACAGTTCACTGAAAATTCGCTTTAGGACGTTTCGGTCCATGCCAGACCACTCAGATCACTGGGTATCTTTGTTACGAAGACGTTTTGCCAACAAATGGCTTCTTTCGATTCAGTATAGAAATATACAGGAGATAACAGATGAGGTAATCAGTTCCTCAGCCTTGGTATAAGGTGTTCAGTCCTCTAGTCTTGATACAAAGTGTTTCGTCCCCCAATCTTGATAGGCGTTCAGTCCCCCAGCCTTGATAGGTGTTCTATCCTGCAGTCTTGATAGAAGGTGTTCAATCCCCCAGCCTTGATAGAAGGTGTTCTCTCCTGCAGTCTTGATAGAAGGTGTTCAGTCCCCCAGCCTTGATAGAAGGTGTTCTATCCTGCAGTCTTGATAGAAGGTGTTCAATCCCCCAGCCTTTATAGAAGGTGTTCTCTCCTGCAGTCTTGATAGAAGGTGTTCAGTCCCCCAGCCTTGATAGAAGGTGTTCTATCCCCCAGCCTTGATAGAAGGTGTTCTATCCTGCAGTCTTGATAGAAGGTGTTCTATCCTGCAGTCTTGATAGAAGGTGTTCAATCCCCCAGCCTTGATAGAAGGTGTTCTCTCCTGCAGTCTTGATAGAAGGTGTTCAGTCCCCCAGCCTTGATAGAAGGTGTTCAATCCCCCAGCCTTGATAGAAGGTGTTCTATCCTGCAGTCTTGATAGAAGGTGTTGAATCCCCCAGCCTTGATAGAAGGTGTTCTCTCCTGCAGTCTTGATATAAGGTGTTCAGTCCCCCAGCCTTGATAGAAGGTGTTCTATCCTGCAGTCTTGATAGAAGGTGTTCAGTCCCCCAGCCTTGATAGAAGGTATTCTATCCTGCAGTCTTGATAGAAGGTGTTCAGTCCCCCAGCCTTAATAGAGGGTGTTCTATCCTGCAGTCTTGATAGAAGGTGTTCAGTCCCCCAGCCTTGATAGAAGGTGTTCTATCCTGCAGTCTTGATAGAAGGTGTTCAGTCCCCCAGCCTTGATAGAAGGTATTCTATCCTGCAGTCTTGATAGAAGGTGTTCAGTCCCCAGCCTTGATAGAAGGTGTTCTATCCTGCAGTCTTGATAGAAGGTGTTCAGTCCCCCAGCCTTGATAGAAGGTGTTCTATCCTGCAGTCTTGATAGAAGGTGTTCAGTCCCCCAGCCTTGATAGAAGGTGTTCTATCCTGCAGTCTTGATAGAAGGTGTTCAGTCCCCCAGCCTTGATGGAAGGTGTTCTATCCTGCAGTCTTGGTAGAAGGTGTTCAGTCCCCCAGCCTTGATAGAAGGTGTTCTATCCTGCAGTCTTGATAGAAGGTGTTCAGTCCCCCAGCCTTGATAGAAGGTGTTCTATCCTGCAGTCTTGATAGAAGGTGTTCAGTCCCCCAGCCTTGATAGAAGGTGTTCTATCCTGCAGTCTTGATAGAAGGTGTTCAGTCCCCCAGCCTTGATAGAAGGTGTTCTATCCTGCAGTCTTGATAGAAGGTGTTCAGTCCCCCAGCCTTGATAGAAGGTGTTCTATCCTGCAGTCTTGATCTCTCTGTTGCACTCGCGTCTTATGTCTGATCTTACTAATATTGTTTATCACTATTATAATAATTAGTGAACTTAACACCAGTTTTTTTTTCATTCCAGATGGGAAGGAAAGCTGCCATGAGCTAAATACCAGACTAATGTATAGATCATCCTAAAGGATTTACACATTGTCGAAGTGGAAATTCATAGACGCATTGAAAAGTTCCCTCAGTCAACAAATGAAGACGTGGACTCTGATTTGGTAATCAGTACTCGCAGTACCCACCTGGCGGAGGGGAAGCATTCCTGCCGGTGAGGATGGCGGTTCAGGGGCGGGGTCCAGGAGCTAGATGCTCTCTGGTGCGGTGCGGGGGGTGGTGCTCCCTCCTGCTCACACCCTTCCTCGCCCCCTGCCTCACCCTGCTGCTCTTGCTGACCGCTCCCCTGCTGACCGCAGAGCAAGGTAAGGTGTTCTTATGACCGTTCATGCCATGACAGCCAAGCGCCAAGGTAGCTAATAATTTTAAAAGGGTGGACTGGTAAGCCAGTGGAAGGCTTCGGTCAGATGACCAAAAGCTCCGGTGGCGAGTCATATAACCAAGACTCGCATCAGGAAGCACTTGTCCTATTTCCTGACAAACCTTACCTAACCCAAGAGGTAATTCTATTCTATGTGGTATATAATCATAATATAAAATGTTGTTTTAAGTTAAATATGGTCTCATAATATTCACAGGTAAGACCAAAATCTTATGTATGATTGTCAACATCAACAATCCGACACTTTTTCAAACAGCTGAAAAATACTGAAATCTTAACTAAAACAAAGATGTTAAATAAAAGGACACAAGCACAACTAATGCGACATTTTATTGAGGCAACGTTTCGCTCTCCTGGAGCTTTGTCAGGTTGCAACGGCTTGACAAGGGTAATTCTGTCAACATTAATAGAAGAACAATGATCTTAAGAATAGAGTGGTGGTGGTGTTTTGATCGTCAGGAAAGAAGAGGATTCTCCTGACAGTGATCTTTGCACTGCAGAACCTTCCACGTCCTGACAGTGATCTTTGCACTGCAGAACCTTCCACGTCCTGACAGTGATCTTTGCACTGCAGAACCTTCCACGTCTACAAAACCAATATGTCCACACAAACTACCAGCAGCAGAGTAAACAGTTGGCGCAATTCATCACACACAAAAAAATAACAAACTTGCTGGGTTGCGTCTGGCAATTACCACATTAAGACAACATTAAGGGAGAATTAACAGTTAAGCGAGGTTTACTAGGTTAGGCTGGGTTAGGCTGGGTTAGATAAAGTGTCACTAATTTAAGATAAATATTTTGAGGACTGTGAATAAATGGTTGAGGACTAGTTATGGTTACTAAAACAGCAGCAGACAACATGCTGACAATGGTACTTGTGACCCAATAAACATTTCATGCTACTTATATATAGATGCAATGTTTATATGAATGTTTATTCTAATTATCAACTCATATATCCAGGTAAATATTGCTACTTGTAGGTGGAAAATTACTTATAACTCTAAGACAGTTGAATTGCTACTACTACTACTGTTACTACTACTACTACTACTACTACTACTACTACTACTACTACTACTACTACTACTACTGCTACTACTACTACTACTACTACTACTACTACTACTACTACTACTGACTACTATGCTACTAACTACTACTACTACTACTACTACTACTACTGCTACTATCTACTACTACTACTACTACTACTGCACTACTACTACTACTACTGCTACTACTACTACTACTACTACTGCTGCTGTTGCTACTACTACTACTGCTACTACTACTACTGCTACTGCTATTACTACTGCTACTGCTACTACTGCTACTACTACTACTACTGCTACTGCTACTACTACTACTACTGCGGCTACTACTAACACGCAGGTGGGAGACGCCCCGTGTTAAAAAATAATAATTATAGGGGAAATAATAATCTCTCTCTCTCTCTCTCTCTCTCTCTCTCTCTCTCTCTCTCTCTCTCTCTCTCTCTCTCTCCTCTCTCTCCTTCCCTCTTTAGTGCTGTGGGCGTCGCCACGTCCTGGTAAGGGCGTGATGACGCGGGCCTCTGGGATTTACTGCGACACTTACCATTCCCAGCCATAACATATTTGTCCAACAACACTGTTGTGGCTAGCCTCTGGCACCTACACTCACTCTACCATTCCCTAACCCTCCCCGCCACACAACCACAATTCACCCCACCACCATCACCGCCATCAACCAGTGAGTTTAGTGGCGTGCCTCTCTGGGTGATACAGTGTCCTCTGAACACAGGCATTACACGTTACATTACATGCTTAGCACACACACTTGGCCTGTCAACGAGCCTCCAGCTGCCTCATCAAGATTTACCTGAGTGCAGATAAGAACAGATGATGATAGAGAAGACTCAGGCTAAAATGTGTTCAGTGTCACTCTGCCAAGAGTTTCCCTCTTGGCTATAAACCTGGGAAAAAAATCCTAAAACAATGTTGCTTTAAGATACACAAATAACCCTCACTTGAGAGAGGAAACAGACGATGTTTCGTTCCGTGGCGGACCATTATTAAGTTACAAGTTCATGATTCAAGACTGACCTTGCAAAACAAGAGGCAATAAAACAAGTCTGTCAGTATGTGTCAAGGCCGCAGAGAACGCTTATTCCCAGCCTCTTGTATTTCAACCCGGAAACAACGGGGTAAAAAGTCCATAAAATATACTGAAGCATCACAGACCAAAGACCTGAACCATTCAACCAAAGAAACAATAATAATGTAATTGATTTAGCCTTATTAATGATTTATTTGTAATTTCAGTTAACTCTATTCACACTGTTTTTAAGAATTACAATATAAATATAATATATATATATATATATATATATATATATATATATATATATATATATATATATATATATATATATATATATATATATATATATATATATATATATATATATTTATAATTGTTTTTTAAAATAGTGGAATAGAAATTAACTGAAATTACAAACGAATCATTAATAAGGCTAAATCAATTGCATTTTTTTGTCTCTTTGAACTTCCTTGTGCTCATTGTTGAACTTGATAAAGCTCTAACATGAGCGAAACGTTGTCCTAATTACAACTTGTTCTTCAAGTTGTCTTCACAACTACACTTCTTCATCTACAACCTTAGTGTTGTAGAACATAAAGACACAATAGCGTGACTGGAAAAATACACAGATAACCAGCACAGAGGAGAAAGAACCTTATGACGACGTATTGGTCCGACTTGGACCACTGACAGTGTGACTAGTCAATGGTCCAAGTCGGACTGAAACGTCGTTATAAGCTTCTTTCTCCCATGTACCGAGTATCTGCGTATTGCTCTTATGTCGTCCATACATTGTACCTTTTGTGAAAGCAGATGCGCAAGAAGTACGCTGAAAGATAACTCAATAAACGCAAGGGGTCCAAGACTTTTCAGTACTCTCAATACATTTATAACTAGCGTTACCAATAGACACCTAGCAGAGTCGAAATGTGATGTACGTCCTCCTAGATGTCTTCAAGACGAAATCTGATAAGTTTCTCGAGTCGGTTGTTGATTAGTTAAGCTGAGTAGGAGGAGACCTGAAGTTCCTTGAATTAAGAGTTCTGTGTGTGTATCAACAAGGTACCTTAGAGAGTCACCACCTGTGTACAAACTTGTCCCAATCTCCCGGCAGCGCTGCACCATATCACACCAGTGCTACACAATCTCACACCACTGCTACACAATCTCACACCATTGCTACACAATCTCACACCAGTGCTACACAATCTCACACCAGTGCTACACAATCTTACACCACTGCTACACAATCCACACCAGTGCTACACAATCTCACACCAGTGCTACACAATCTCACACCAGTGCTACACAATCTCACACCAGTGCTACACAATCTCACACCAGTGCTACACAATCTCATACCATGCTACACAATCTCACACCAGTGCTACACAATCTCACACCAGTGCTACACAATCTCACACCACTGCTACACAATCTCCCACCAGTGCTACACAATCTCACACCAGTGCTACACAATCTCACACCAGTGCTACACAATCTCACACCAGTGCTACACAATCTCACACCAGTGCTACACAATCTCACACCAGTGCTACACAATCTCACACCAGTGCTACACAATCTCACACCACTGCTACACAATCTCACACCAGTGCTACACATCTCACACCATGCTACACAATCTCACACCAGTGCTACACAATCTCACACCACTGCTACACAATCTCACACCACTGCTACACAATCTCACACCACTGCTACACAATCTCACACCAGTGCTACACAATCTCACACCACTGCTACACAATCTCACACCACTGCTACACAATCTCACACCACTGCTACACAATCTCACACCAGTGCTACACAATCTCACACCACTGCTACACAATCTCACACCAGTGCTACACAATCTCACACCATGCTACACAATCTCACACCAGTGCTACACAATCTCACACCAGTGCTACACAATCTCACACCAGTGCTACACAATCTCACACCACTGCTACACAATCTCACACCAGTGCTACACAATCTCACACCAGTGCTACACAATCTCACACCAGTGCTACACAATCTCACACCACTGCTACACAATCTCACACCAGTGCTACACAATCTCACACCAGTGCTACACAATCTCACACCACTGCTACACAATCTCACACCAGTGCTACACAATCTCACACCAGTGCTACACAATCTCACACCAGTGCTACACAATCTCACACCAGTGCTACACAATCTCACACCAGTGCTACACAGTCTCGCTCCAGCATTACTCAATCTCACTTTTCGCATTGTGTTATCTACGCTTTTTTCCCCCTCGCTAGATGTACCTCGTGACCGTCCACAGGTTTTCCAGTCATACCTCTCGCAGTGACCGTAAAAGTTGTCGATGCGTGGAGGTCAGGAGAGAAGCCAGGTGTGTGCTCCGTCCTTTATCTGTTGCTGAAAATGGTATAAAATACCGATACGTTGGAGATTGAGACACACGTGCAACAGTTGAGTTTATTAACGAAACGTTTCGCTATACAGTAGGCTTCTTCAGTCAGAAACAAAGGGGTTAGTAGTAATGAAACATTGATGTAATCAGTCCATGAACCCTGGCCAGTGTTCCTGGCCAGAACGTTCAGTATTATGCGTTGTTTCTTTATTCTCGTCCACTTCGCTGCCAGATGCATTGTCGACGAATTTTTTCTTGTGCAATTTGCATTTTTTTGGAGAGTGGGATTAAATGTACGTTTATAATTTTTTTGATCAAAACTAACCTAAAATAACTTCGTCTAATTTAAAATGTGGAAAATAGTCCAGGAGCTGGAGCCTGATGCTATCAAATACACACACAAACGCATAGACACACACCCA